CTCTTGTCGTATCCTTTCTTCTTCTTGCGTACACAATCAATCAATTTATTTGCTTCAATATGAGCTCTGAATGGGTCTTAGCCTGTTAAAAATTTGATTTTTCTCTTTATGAACATTTGTGAGTTAATAACAATATTTCACATGATATGACTGTCAGTACAGTACAATCGTCATGTACAACCCGCTCAACTAGCAGGAAGATTTCAGAAATTCCTAACCTTTGGCTTACGCAGATATTTTACAAATTTAAAATCTATTCAAAATGATAAATTGAACCCGTGACCCATCAGTTATGTTGCTCTTGCGCGGAGCCACGTGGTGTCCCATTTCTTGCGTACTTGATTTTGAAATGCAATATTGTATTATATATCTGTATTTTTTTTTATTCCAGAATGCATACATCGAACATCGTGAAGTTAAGGCTGCTCAAGGAGTGAAAATTGCTGCTAAAGATTTGGAAAAGGCTATTGCTGGTACGTAACTATTTTTAAAATCAATAAGATTTTTTTTAACTTTTTGTAATATATAACATATATTTTTTTATATTCGTTCTTAGGAATAAAATAAGTAACACATAAATTGATATTTGTATACAGGGTTAAATTTGCAAGTCGCGCAGAAGCCAGACGAGGTTGACGTTATGAAGGAAGAAATAGCAAAGGAACTGTCGAGTGCTCTGGGAAATATTCGGCTCGCTGAACGAGGAGTTTACGTGCAGGCGTCAACTTTGGGAGCTCTTGAAGCATTGTTGGACTTTCTGAAAAGCAGCAAAATACCGGTAAGTACCAGTTTACAGATGAGTCTTTCATTTTAATACATGCGATATCATTTGCATTAATTTCTGTCACAATATATCAGTACAATGATATTTCTTCTTTTTACTTCCGACTGCTGCCTATCGAGTGTGCGTTTCACGGATGTCAAGTATATATATTTTGCGCGATTATCATATATTAAATATGTTTGAATTCAGTTATTTAATTGACCGCTATAATTTCTTTGAAAGATACAAGCTTAAAGAAATGAATGGTAGTCGTTATCATGTCATACAGTCACTCGTGTTGATATGAATTCTGATAGTTGATATGATAACCGTTAATATGATTTCTGATAATTTCTTTTACTGATATTTCATATATAATTCTTCACTCCACTATTATTGTCTCATACTTTTATTGCTTTATACTATTAAAATGACTGATAAAAATACCGTTTACCGATACTGGAGCCTGCAGTAACTAAATATTTATTCTATATAATCTCAGTATAAAGTTGATACCATTGCGACTCGATACCTTGATGACTTGATACCTTGATTACTACTTATCAGCAACTGAAGTCAATAGAAGTATTTATTAAATCTTATCTACGTATGTATAAGCTTACAATTCTAAAAATAACTTAATTTATCGCTTATTTAATTGTATCATTGAGAGAAATTCATTCTTAGTTGAGCATGTACATTTCTCACGATTCCGTTTTATATTCGTGAATAGCGACCGCCGCGTATTGTACGCGCGAGATACGATATGTCAAATCTCGAAAAAGACCCGAGGGCTACATCCTCGCGGATGTATAAATAAATAAAATGGACATATGTAATATCGGCGAGCGTGCGTAGATGGGATTAGGAGCAGAGAGACGGACAGATAGATCGGTAGCTAGATAGATAGACAGATGGAGAGAGAACAGCGGCAACAGCAGCAGCAACGAACCACTTCCTTCTTAACAGTTTAGCAGGATACGGCTCATTGGTCGCACACGGTGCTTGTACCCGTGATCCATCGTGCTATCAGCCTCGCTGTCCAACCGTGGGCACGCCTCACAGCCTTCTACAGGGTGTCCTGTACGCCGCGCATCGACGACAGTTCCACACGGCGCCGTTTCTGAAGAGAGTTTCCCGTCTTTCGAAAATTTCCCGATACACGCGTCCGTGCTGATATTGAGCATTATCCAGCGAGAGACACAAATAATACAGTGTAACGCAGTGAATCATTTTATCTTTGCTTAACACTGCCAACAAAGATGCAATGATTCACTTGTGTTAATCCATGTTGTGTCTCCTGTTGAAAAATGCTTATTTAACAGAAGTAAAGCGTGCGGTCGCAGGTACATTCACGATAGCGGATTATCTATCGCGTGGTCGCGATTATCCACGCGTAAATCCTCATTGATAACGTTTGATAAACAATAGCCGATATACTCTGAAACCTGACTTGGTCCATCCGATCCGTGGACGTGTCAGTTTCCGTAGGCGCTTAGATACTGCCTCGGTACACGCGGGCATGTGCACGCAGGTACGGACCGCGTGTATATATTATTTACGAGGAAGCTACGGTCGCGCCCGGCGCGCTGGTCCGCGATAATCGCGCGCCCGGTCCCGTCCCCGTATAATCGCGGAGAGGCAGACTTGTATATTTACATAAGAGCATCCCGGCGAGAGAATGGCAAAAATGTCCCGTTATCTCGGAGCCGAGATATCATTCACAACAAGCTCCAGCTACGCTACAATGACCGTAGTAGTGGAGACGCGACTCCGCCGAAGTCCGCGAGCATATACGTTTCCCCATTCCGGAGCCATCGAGGCCGGGCATTCGCCGCCTTGCTCGTCCCGACATTCGTCCGCTCAAAAGTTTTTTTCTTTGCGACGGTCGTGCAAAAGGAGAGAGAGAGAGAGAGAGAGAGAGCGCACGAGCGAGCAAAAACTTCCTGTCATCTTCGGCTCGAGGTAACACACCGTCCGAAACGGCCTTAAGCCTGTCCTTGCTCGGGTTATGAATGGGCTCTCCCCCACCGCGATTGCACGATCACGTGGCCATGTGACGTCAGTTTTATCGCACGCACACGCCAAACACGCACGATCCCCTTTCCTCTCTGTCTTTCTCTCTCTCTCTCTTTCTCTTCGCTGCCCTCCTACCCTCGCCACTTCCTCACGTGCATACAGAGACACGGCGTTTTCACGGCGCGAAAAGAGAGGGAGAATCGAAGTATCACGAAGTGAGGCCAGAGTCGCAGAGGGGAACGACGAGGGAGGCGAAGGGGTGAGAAGGGTTGGCGGATTAAACTCACGCAAACACGCGCGCGTCGGTGGTGCCTCTCTTTCTCTCCCTCTCTTTTTTTTTCTCTCTTTCTCTCTCTAAGTCTCTCGCTCTCGGATCGCCTCGCTTTTGCCAACATGGAGGCATGGAGGCTCGCGCGAGCGCGCCCGCGGACGTGTGTAGGCTGAAAAAAAAAAGGAATACGTGATCAACGTACAGGAAACTGCCTACACTCGGCGCGCGGGCACCGTGGGTGGACGGATCGACGGATGGACGGGCGGGCGGGCGGGCGGGCGGATTCAGGAATCGTAGCAGTTTCATCGACGGATGCCGCGCGAGAAAATAGCGGAAATAAAGTAACGAGGATAACGCCTGCGAGAGAACGGAGTGGACTCGACGTCGCCAGAATCAACGTTCGCGGCGTCTTGAATTTTTGATAGACGTCCCTCCTCTCCCCCCTTGCCCCTGGTTTGCCCGAAATGGATATCGTAGGTACATTCTTGTCGCTACATCTCGCGACCGTTGAAGCGCCGAGATCGGCAGATCTCGCCGCCTCTTACTGTTACCTGAATGCACGTCAAATAATTGGGTCATTTACTAAATATCGCGTGTCGTCTCTTTAATTAATTTCTCACTTAAAAAGAATTCATTTGCACATCTGTCGCAAATAAGGAAGTCACAAGGTCCAAGTTGTTCGATGATACACTTATTTATACAAGAGACGCAGCGCGCGATCTTTAATCTCGCAAAGTCCATATATGTGTATAAACTTAGAGAAACGCACAAGGAACATGGTCTTTTTTTTTTATACTGCATATCTCGTACCTGTCGCGACCGCCGCGACAACAGGAAGTCATATCTTTTCACGTGAATTCAATGAGTAACATAAAGAAGAATCAATGTAAAGCGTCTTTAGGTCAAGAATGCTCGGCGACCATGAAGATGTTTTTCAAGGCGCCGCCATTCGGTAAAACGCGAGCTACTCCGGGCTCTGTTATTACGGGCACGTATACGTACGTATATCGGCGTCGTTAATTAAACGATACGACGCCTCGTCGCCGCCGCCGCCGCCGCCGCCGCGATCGATGCACAATGGCGGCATGTTGAATTAACGATTCTTATCGGGCGACGGTCTTTCCTGTCCTCGTCCCGTTTAGCCGAACGGGATCGGAATATGCGGCTTAATCGGGACCGGCGCGGGGTTTTACGCCGCTCTTCTCGGAACCCGCCGGCGCGCGCCTTGATTGACGATTACCTGCCTATAGGCGGGTGCGCAGGTGAGACAGGTGGATAGACCGCGGCAACGGCAATTAATCGCGAGAACAATCGCCGAGCTCGCTCACTCGGGGTAGGGTTGAGTCTCGCCGATAGCCAGATACCATCGGCATTTTGTTATTACCGAAATCGTTACATGACCGGCCGTTATGTAACAGCAGCAGGCGGTGTCACTAACACAGTCGCAGCGACGGCTGATATCGATTTTTTTTTTTTGGGTCGAAACTGCGTAATACCACGGCTATCGTCGCGGTATAATATCGCCGATTAACGTGTTGATCTCGCGTGTCGATCGCTCGCTCCGCGTTAATTGAACAGCGAGATTTCCTAGATTTTCTGCGAAATCGGCAATCGGGACGACTGACGCTGTTGAATTAGTAATACGAGGAAATAATGCATTACGTTGACAAAGTCACTTTGTTGAGAAATGTAATTTAATAACTTTAATTATTACTAAGATTAATAATATAGATATTAATAACTTTAATAACAATTAAATTATTAATACAATGATATAATTATACTATCATTAATACAATAATGATCTAATATACGCTAATATAGGGTAATTACTATAATTATTAATGTTGAAATTTAATATGTACGTTGCAAATATCAATTAGTAGAAAGATTCTTATCTGCCTTGGTATTAAGGACGAATCACTTTTTCACCTAACACGTATTCGTGTCTAATTTTATTCGGTGCATTTTCTTGAATGCGCGTATACGTCGGAGCCGATGAGGAGAGCTGAGCTGAGCGGAGCGGAGCAGATCGCGCCGTCACGAGCGGACGGCGCGTCCGCCTTCTCGGCTCCGTTTCAATGCGAGCGCAACAGGAAAAGATGGTTCGCTTCCTCACATTGTTTCCGAACACTCGGCACGACAGCAGTTTCTTACACGCCAGTTATGCATTAAAGCCGGGGTTTCCCTCGAAACGAGACTAATGCATTTTCATAACCGCCGCCACGATACCAATCGTTCTTGTCTAACAAATTACACAATTCGTAATTAGGATTTCCGCTCCGCTAACGACGACACATTTCTCGCGCATTCCTCCGGATTATCCCGGCGGATCCGTCCAATCTGGATCACTGCCCATCGTCGGCTCCCCATCAGACGATCCCTCTATTTTTCTCTTTTCTTTTATTATTATTGCTGTATCCGAAAATCCGTCGGCCGCGTCTCAACCGCAAGCCTTTTCAGGCCATTTAAGAACGCTGTCCCTTTGTCACGGTGTCAAAGAGCCATACGAAATAAATAATTTATTGTCCGCCAAAACTCCAGTTTTACAAAATTTGTGTGTGAACTTGAGAAGGTTGGGTGGAGGGGGGGGGGAGCTCGTTTTTCAAGCACTGCCGGGAACGTTTAGGTGCGAATTTCGGTACAATGGGAAAATTCTCAACTTTTGTTACCGAGGGGACTTCCGGCGGCACGGAATTCCTTCGCCATTCTGCAGAATTTTGCGGCATCTGGCCACATGCGGAGGCGAGCCGATCGTCTACCTGGCTTGCTCCGCCATTCGCGTAACAGGCGGGCGGAAGCGCATCGCTCGCTCGCTCGCTCGCTCGCTTGCTCCTCTTCCGCGCCGGTGCCGGTGCCGGTGCAGCAGGAAAAGATGGCTCGTTTCCTCGCATTGTTTCTAACCGCGGCATATGAGTGCGCGGCCTGCATATGCTGGGGACATGGGAGCGGATGCGTGCGAGCGAGTGAGCGAGCGCCCGTGCACGCTTCGCCGCGTCGCGAGCGCGTTTTCACGAAGCGATCGAGGAAAGTTGCAGATTGACGCGTTCAACTTCAATTAATCTCGCGGAAGATAAATGAGGATTATACACGGGCTGCCCCACCGGATCCTTTTAATCTCGGCTCTTCTTAGCCGGTTTTTCTAGGTGGATGATTTTTCTTTAATAGAGCTATTTTATAAAGAAAAATATTATCATTTATTTTTTTTATGTCTGTCTATAATTGAACTCGAGATTCGACTTTATTGATGTAAAGATTACTAAAGAGAAAGAGAGAGAGAGAGAGAGAGAGAGAGAGAGAGAGAGAGAGTTTGTACGGAAATTATCATTTTGTTGTGCATCTTTTCTCTCGTGAAAATTAATTCGCCGAAAACTTTTTTCTCGTTTCAATCGTTCATTCTTCTCGAGATTTTCGTTTTACAAATATTTCGTATTGTAAATCCTATAATTCTTTTTTTACGTATACATCTTTCATCAACGAGTTTACAACTCTTTATACCTTTCGTTATTTATTTTTATGATAAACAGAAAAAAACTAGCCACATAAGAATACGAGAAGAATAATAATAGGTCATATTTTTCGTGCTTCGTCCTTTCCTTCAGAACCATTGCTTTCAGCATACGGAATGCATCTGTTTCCCTTTTTCGGTGATCACCGCGTGACCATGGCGGCTTCGCGAAGGTGCGAAAAACCGAAAATTCGCCACGAGGCCACAGCACGCTCGTCCTTCGGTAATGCTAATCGCGCGCGCGCTCACGCGGGCAGGATATGCAGGAGGAGCGGAACGGGAGGCGAGTTTAATAAATTAGCGTTTCCTTCTTCGGCGCAGCGTGCCGCAGTTACGACGAGAGGCTAAAGAGGATCCGTGCCCCCGACGGCTGGTTTTAAATGCCGGAAGCACCTCCCTCCCTCTCTGCCCCCCCGTCCCGTTCCCCCGAGCCCTCCTTTAACCTCCCCCCCCCCCACCCTCCCCCTTCGTGCCGTGCGCCGGGTCCCCTTTCGCCCCGCTTCCTCGCCGTCTTACTCTTCCTCCCAACTTCCTCCCGCTTATACCAGCGGCGCGTTTCTTTCGCCGGCAACATCTGCCGTGTCCGCCTTTTCTCGTCGTACTAGATCTCTCTCCTTCTCCCGTTTCGTCTTTCCTCTCCTTCTTTACGTCCTCCTCTTACCCCCTCCCTCTCTCCCCCTGCACTCGACTTCTTTTTTTTTTCTTTTCCACCGCGGCACCTCTCTCGCCTCCTGTTCGACTCCCCTTCCTCCTGCTTCTTCTTCTCTTCGAGAGCATCCGTTCCTCCAAAGCGAAGTATCGTCAACTCGCGACTCGCTAAGAATTTTGATCGCGCACAGAGATGTTAGAGATCAAGAGCCCGCAGCGATTTGTGCCGGATAGACTTTAATTTGCAGTTTTATAAGTAGCGATGATTAAAATTTAAGTGCCTCACTGAAAGCAGCCGCATAATTCAATCCAAATTATTATATAAATATAAAAAAATTGGTTAAAATTATCGAATTATTATAATTATGTAAGCATTATCAGTAATGATAATTATTAACAATTTAATAATGTATTGTTATTAGAGATTGCATGAGCAAAGTTCAGGCACTATGGAATTGGTAGAAAAATTTATGCTCAACGTTTTATTCTTCATCTTGGAGCTCATTCCACGAAGCTGCAAAGCATGTGCCTTGGCAGCATGTAGTAAATAGAACTGAGGGAAAAATATATTGACGGCGTGTATCTGATATAAGGATCGGAATGCGACGCGCGCCGGAAGTTCTAAAACACGCTTATCTCGGAAAGTTCTCGGGAACGTATCATCTTCCGCTCGTTCGTCCGTCTCGTTCGTACGTTCATTTGTTCGTTTGTCTCTACCTCGTTTCCCCCTCGATTGTCCGCCTCCGTCAGCCGCTCCTCGGTACTAGCTCGAGAATTGGCCCGTAAATAGGAACTACCATTTGTGCACGGTCTGTATACCTGCGGGAATAATTATCGTTACAATCGCGGTGGATGCGGTTCGCGAGGGTGCACTCGAAATGAAAATGAGAGAGAGAGAGGGAGAGGCGTGTATTTGAAATGCAAAATTATTATAAAGTGCTTATGCAGATTAAAATCATAAAATAAGATCTATGGAATTTTATTTGAGGCTTTTTATTATAAAAGAAGAGAAGATAAGAAAAAAAAGATTGTTTTATGAAAAGAAGGAAATAATTTGTAGGATTCTTTCTAGGATGGTAATTTGTATAAATTTTAATATATATAATTTTGCAATTCTTAAATCGCAACACGTTTATTAATGTTTCAGCGCAGAAGCGTTTAGTATTTTAGTGGACAAGCAGTTTATACATATAATGATCTTGTTTACGTGCACAAGTACCGGCGAGTAATGAATAATAAGGAGTAAAAGAGGAACGCGTGATGCAAGATAAAATCTGAAAGTTACACTATACTTATGTTAGTGTGCTTAAAACTCTATCGCAGTTCTCTTAACGCGGCAATTAATCCCGTATATCGAGTATCGTGTTATATACATTGACCACATCGGCGGCGGGTAACCGATATCCGTTTCGAAACCGGAAAGCAGACGCGCGTGTGTAATCATCAGCGAGGATCAGGGGGGCTGATGATTGAGACGGAGTGTAATATGCGGCAATATAATCTGCCAGTTATCAGAAAATAAATTTGTACGTGCTCTTAATTAATCGCTTCTTGAAATTTATTCTAAAAGATATTAAGAGCGCATTTAATTGCAATATTAGACATTTACGTGAAAAATAATCGTGATATCTCGTTACGGTACTATTGGAAATTACGTCGTAATGTATACGTATATCAGTCGTTATTGACGTTATTGAATCGTTAAAGGTAGCCAGAAAAAAAACGAACATGTGTTCTTTTATTATTTTTTTGTTCATTGGTATTAATCAGTTCCAATCATAATTAGCTTTCGAGTTAGCTTTTAGGTATAAATGTCTTTTTAACTAATTTAGCTTTTAACTAAATTAACTACTATATTAGATGCATGCTCTTTACAGGAGTAATTCAGAATTAATTTTGTACATTGAATTACTGTAAAAAAATACCGAACTACAATTACTAATAGATATTAATTAATTTACAACGCGGTTTAAGGGATTTGCGTAAAACGTCTGCCGGATCTGCCTTGAGATCTCTACAGATCTTCGACGGAAATTTATTTCTGAGGATGTCTCTCGGAGAGAGAAGCGCGGAATACGTCTTCTTGTGCATCCTGTAACGTTACGACGACACGCTCGTTCTGCTTCGGTCGGCTTTAATCCCGACTGTACGTACGGCGTATGCTCGCGGTGCTCGCCTCGACCGCGGAGCGGCTTTTCTCGGTAAAGCCGCGAAACGGCTTGTTTGCGACTGCATCGCGCTGCGTCGCGTTTATTTCAACGTGTTGCGTCGCGCGTCTCGTGTCGCGTCCCGTCTCGTTGCACCGTCCGTCCGGCCGAATCCGGGCGGCATGCATGCGTCACAGGTTATTTTTGCCTAGTCGTATATACTACGCGCGGCTCGCGTATATACACACGGAAAGACCCGCGGGATCCGTGGCGTTTCGGTGGCAATGATTCCAGAGATTCGGTCGCCGGTACAGCTTCAGGCGTAGGCGATCCAAACGGGAATTGCGAAACGCAACGCTCGTCGCTTACCGGCGACGCGTCGGACGTGTTGTTACAATTTACTGAAAGGCAGTTATTCATATTTATGTTCTTATTACGATTAATTTACATTTAAATACGTGTGCTATTCACATCGTCGAGAAGTGCACTCTTGATAATAATTTTTTAAGCGTTTCATTTATTTATTTATTTATCGCTAGGCTGAGATTTGATATATCATTTGTTTGACGGCGTCTACTCGCGACTTTCCCGTTTATCCTCGGAGCGGTTACCCCTCCGTTCGAGCAAATGGATTGCGAGGCACTTTTTGCGCATTCGCGTGGTCACGCGTGACGAATATCAGCGTCGATGAAAAGTTACGTTTGCCCGTAAGAAACTGGTTCGCGTTAAAGAGATGACAAGTGCGATTCGCATCTCCGGCCGTTAGATCGTTACAGCAGTCGTTACTCGGCTCCCCTCCCCCCCTCCGCCGTCCCCTCGCGCGTTACGTAACAATGTGCGAAATAACGTAACGCAAGAAACTATGTAATAATGTTGCCAAGATGAGAGAGACAGTCATTGCATGCTGTCGAGCGAAATCGGAGCGACTTGCGTAATGACGAACCGCATTCGCCCGCTCCGCGATGCCGTTTGATATCTTTTCTTGCGTTTGACAATTTCTCCTTTAACAATATTTTTGTTTTTGTTCGCAGTACTCCGGAATTCGTATCGGACCGGTCGTCAAGAAAGACGTCATGAAGGCGTCTATCATGCTGGAGCACGATAGCCAGTGAGTACACCTTGTTAGTAAAATATAAGATAGTAATTGTCATTCTCGTGTCTCCTGAACTTCCTGTCGAGTTCCTCTCTAAGGAATTAAAGAATTCAAACAAATATTAGTTTAAAAAAAATTTTTAGTATACAAATTTTAATAACTTCTAAATCTTTTAGCAACTTTTGACGAAAGAAATCTTACGCTTTTCCAACATTTTCAATTTTCGAGAAGAGCGATATTTATAGCGAACTATAGTTAATCAATTTAAATTAATTTGTTCACAGATACGCCACGATTCTTGCGTTCGACGTGAAGATCGAGAGGGACGCGCAAGAGCTCGCGGACTCGCTGGGCGTCAAGATCTTCCAGGCCGACATTATTTACCACCTGTTCGACAAATTCACCAGTTACAGGGAGGAACTGAAGCAGCGCAAGCGGGACGAGAACAAGCACATCGCCGTGTTTCCGTGTAAGCTGAGGATCCTGCCGCAGGTGAGTTACATACGCGCCCGCGTATACGACGTCGCGAGAGTTGAAACGGACGCGCGATAAACAAGTGGGATTTACGCCGGCGCGACATCGTCGTCGGCGGCGATCTCTCCGAACTCTTCGGAGCTTTTTAAACATGGGGCCCCGTTTGGATTTCAGTACGTATTCAACTCGAGGGATCCGATCGTGATCGGCGTGATGGTCGAGGCTGGAATCGTCAAGGAAGGAACGCCGCTCTGCGTCCCGAGCAAGGACGTGAGTTGACTTTTCATTTTCTTTCACCTCTCTACCCCCTGAAACTCTATCGCGAATCGCAATGTACATAACACGCCTCTTCGTGTCGTTCGCATTATTGGAATATGAATGTTTCGTCGCGTGGATCGATAATCTCCACGTCAACGACATCTTTCGATACCAAAGAATCCGTTTCCCGAAAGATATATTAATTATTAGTTATAAGACGCTAATTTACATTTATTTATAAAAGCGACGTACGTGTTTTTGATATTCATGCATTTTTATCACTAGCGATAACGTATTAGAAATCCGAACATTCTTCTAATCATTTTTTTCTCTATGAAACAAGAAAGAAATTAGCAAATATTTACTAAAGAAAACAAGCTGTCGCAAAATGCTGCCAGAGTATTTCTATCATCCTCCGCGCGAATAAAACGAACGTCGGCAGTGTCTTTGCGTTCAGAACGCGGCGCGACTTGTCAGCGGCATGTTGCACCAAAAATAATCACGCCGGGCGTATAATCGCGGTGGCCGGAGAGATTAATGAAATTTACGCCGAAGGCTCGCGGCGAAAATTGAATCCGTGCGCGCGCGCGCGCGGAACGGAGGGATGAATGAAGGAGAGAAAGAGAAACGGAGGCCGACCTGTGTACATACGGCAGGACCTGCACGGCGACCGGGTGGCGCGCCGGGGGAAGTCGCGACTGGACCAGTCCTGCGGAGCGGAGAGCCGTAACCGAGAACTATCGGCGGCGCGCGTAGGTGAACTCGTTCAGCGGAAATACGGCGATTCAGTTGGCCGATCGATCGCGTCGATCGAGCGGGCGGACATATTAAACCGCTCCGGGCCGGCCGGCCGGCCGGCATTCTCGGTGCCGCTCTCCCTCGCTCCCGTAGGTGGATCCGACCGAACGACCGAGGAAAGTCCGTCTCTCTTTCTTCGTCTCTCTCTTTCTCCCCCTCTTTCCTTTCCTCTCTTCGTCTCGTTCGTTCCCGTAGGAGGAACCGGGTGGGTAGCCGGCCTCTCCGGCCTCGCCTTACGCGGTAGCGCGCGCGAAACGTTGCAGGTTGCCTAGCCTCGGATCCCGTAGGCGTCGGCGATGCCATTAGTGGCACGCAAATTCCCGACGGACAAAAATCCGAAATGTATTCTCCCACCGGCGTCGCGGTGGCGCACCCACGCGCCCGCGATCGATGATTTAACGCGCGGCCATGCTCTGTCACCGCGCGACTCAGTTCAGCTAAGGTTCGACTTGGGCACGGCTTGGCACCGCTTCGCGCGACTTTTTTTTTAGCCCTTTCTCCGCGTAGATGTCTTCCTCAGCATTTTATTATTTATATATTACATTTACGAGCGTCCATAAATGATACTGTGCCATCAGTCTTCTTTCCTCTGCGATCTTCTTGCCGTTCAGAAATACATATGTATCTCTTCCTTTCATACGACACGTAAACTCGAGATTCGTAGAAGTCGCGAGCGTTAAGTCGCGCGCGCGATCGCTCTCGCCACGAAGAGAGGCGACGAGGCATTCCGGGCCCTTGCGCGACTCCGACCACGTATCCGGGCCCACGCGATATTCTCCGCGGGACATCGAGCTCGGGAAAGAGACGCCGCTTCGGCTCGAAAACTCTCCGGCGCGTCGTCGGGCTCTCAACGTTTATTTCTCAACGTTTTCTGGCGGACGCTCCTCGCCTCGCGCCAGCGCTCACCAGGAATGAATCCACGATTTTGCGCAACGCGTTCTCGCCGCGTGTTCTTTTCGTCCTTCGAAAGAACGACGCGCGGATTCCAAATGGCCGGCCGGTCGTCTTTCCACGGAGAGGGACCCGACGTTTCGTATCCGGTGTCGAAAGACACTGAACGCGGCATGACAGCTTCCATATTTTTTTAGGCTCGACTTGAATCCGAGAGTGATTTATTTTTAATTTCCTGTTCAAATTTCCTGTTCATTCAGCGAGAGAAGTAAAATTCTTCAGTTCTCCTCGAACGTGGTTTTCAAAGGAAATACATTTGTACAGATTATTGTAAATTTCTGCTTAGGTATTTTTTTTTACCTCATCTCCCTAGGTTTCTTTTTTTAGGATAAAAGTACGGACTTTGGGACAACTTTGCCTTGAAACCTTAGGGTTGAATACGAGGTCTTTAGAAATAGAATCGGCTGTTGTACAAAATATCCCGAGATCGCACGTGTTCGGTCTCGCTGACAAGCTCCGCAAACAAAGCGACCGGCGGAAAACTCCGGATTTACCGTGAAAGTTACTTCCGCCCGTATCGTCCAACGCGCGCGTCGATGAGTGAATTACCGCGAGAACGTGTCTTCGACGACGATGGACCTGACGATTATCCCGTGCGTTCGTCGAGTCTCACGAAACTCCAGTTAGCGCAGGTCAGTTTGCGCCCGGGCCTTCCTTTTGTCGACCGGATGCACGTCGTCGACGGGACGGAGGAGGAACGCGCGCCGATATAGCGCCGCGAAAGGAAACGCTCGGCTTAAACACGAGACGGAAGAGCGATCCGGCCGACGGTACGTGAGTTCGCAAGCGTCGAGCGGATTTTCATCGCGCGATACATTTGGCGAGAGCGAGAGAGAGAGAGAGAGAGAGAGAGAGAGAGGCGATCGCGCTCACGGAGCTCTTGAGCCGCACGCACGAAGATTCGCATGCCAATTTCGAACGATGACGCCGCCGTTCGTCGTCGGCGAGCTCGTCGTCGCGAGTCTTCTGCCGTTACAAACATCCCCTCGTTTCCTCTTTTCCGTTTCATAGTTATAATTATGGACATATGTCTTCTCGCGTATCCGAGATCGAAATCGCGCAAATCGTCACGTTTTACGGGCGCAGTCCGCGTTTTTCCCGCGTTAAATGCGATTTAACGAGCGATATCGATAGCAACGCTAATGACTGTCGTTACGTAATCATTCCGCGCGATCACTCTTCCCTTAGAATTTACTCTGCCGTCCCGTGGCGCCGCGAGAGAGCCTGGAATGAGACAGGGAGAGAGAGAGAGAGAGAGACCGCCTCGGAGAACTCGCATGGAGAACCTATCTATTCATCTATCCGCTTCCCCTCTCGCGACTTCCATCGTACGTTATCGGGCGTACCCGCGCGCACAACACATACGTAGAAACACACAGAGGGATACACATATAGTACGGGCGTTGCGCAACCGCGCCGGTCTCGATAGGCGGCTTTAACGGCGAGCGGAAATCCGGTGGATTCTTTCGGCCTGCCGTTTTCTTGCCGGCGTTTCCTTTTTTTTTTCTCCCCTCCGTTATCCATTTTCCGCTCTTTCCGCCGCCGCGCCGACCGACCGACCGGCAGGCCGATCATTCGTCCATCCGTTCCGTACATCCGTCGGTTCGTTGGGTGGCGGATTCTGCTCGGCCCGATGACCCGAGAGTCGCGATAGCGCCGCGCATTTGATGCGCGCGCTCTCTCACTCTTTCTTTTTTTCCTCTCCGCTCGCTCTGAGAGTAGATCTCGGCGCGTTTCACGATTGGATGGTCCTGGCGGAAATAACCTCCGCTGCGTGAAGCATCTTCTTCCTCGCGGTCTTTGCTTCAGCTGTACATATCGCGCGACACTCTTCTCCGTTTTCTTCTGCCTTCTCTTTATCAGTTAAACGACGAGCGACCGACTATTGGCGTATAATAGAACGAAATAGTCGTATTTTATCAGACATTTACGTGGAGTCGGAATACGTCTGTCCATTAAACTTCGATTTTCCATGTAATAGACTTTAAATTAATTTTTTTAAATTGTATTTTTATAAATGTATATTTAATAATGATTAATTATGATTTTGTAAAACATAACATCTCTCAAAATATCAATTAGTATACCTAAAGTCATCGTTAAGTCGTAAAGTAAAATTTAAATGAAATTTTAAAGTAAAAATAGGCTAAAAATCGGAGCTGAACGAGTTATTGTGAAGCATCTTCGCTTGTCGTCCTCATAAAGCGAAAGTTGGATGCTCGAAGAGAAGTGTGCGGAGTAAGCGAGTGCGATTGGGGCGAAGTGGAAAGAGAGAGAGAGAGAGAGAGAGAGAGAGAGAGGCGTGAGGCAGGACGAAAGATAGAGTGTGAGAAAGAGAGGCAGAAGCCCTTTATCGTTAAGTAAGTTCAACAACACGCTATCGTGGCGCGAGAAACATGATCGGCATACGTCGTGTCAGGCTCGCACTCACCAGATTCTCAATCTCTACTGTATGTATTTGTATATTTCATAACGGCTTTTTGTAACACAGCAACAAGATAAAATCCTCGTAAGAAGTACACAGTAACAAGATAAAATCCTCGAATATTTGAATTTGTCGTAATTACTTCTCGTTTCATCAGCTAGTTTTATCTCAAGTATTATTTCTGTGATAACAATATTGAAAGATACGTCTCTCACGTATGGCGCACCTCTCGTGGGCAATCAGAAACGTTAAGAAAGGACATGAGCGGCTTAGAGCGATTTCACTTGGAATTATATTCAGCTCTCGTGGGCGAGCGACAGGAACTAGAAACGCTCCGGTGCGCGAGTCCTCTTCCGGCGGAAAAGGCGCTCGTACATAGACCGACCGTTCTTCCTTTCTCTCCCGTCCCGCGTCTCTGTGCTCCCTCCCTCCTCCCGACCTGCCCTGCCCGGTTTCCTCTTCCTTTTCCTTGAGGCATACACCGTGGCATGCGCGCGTGCAAATTCGCGGCGGATAGGAATTTCAAGCCGGAGAGGATATCTCTCTATTGAGAGGGTATTCAGACCGCGACGTTTCGCAATTGCCCGCAATCCACGCGGCTGTCATTCTCTCAAGTGCGAGGGAGCTCCTACGCGAAAAATTATCCTTCCTGACTTCGCGAATCGTCCGAGGAGTGGGTAAAGCACGCGAGACACGAACCCACCGAAAATCAATCGGATTTTTTTGTCTTCCGATTTTTACGAAGAAGCGAAACTTTTCAAAGTTTCTTTCTCGAATATCGTTGCTCCATTACTTACAAATTTTCTATTATCTAAAATTATATAGTGGAGCTTTAAAA